CCTTTAGGATCATTACGCCCCTCCCTCTCTAGACCATCGATGATAAGAAGCACTTGTATTCAATTTCAACATCCTATATATGTATATGCACATGTAGAGAAAGAAGGGAATGAACCATTAGATATTGTCGCAAGAATTACCAAAAAAAGTAACGGATATCGTTGGTCGGAAAGCAGAGCGCATGAATACATTGTACATGTGTTGTGAATACAGTAGAGCAATACTATAGTACTACGAAGAATTTTAGAGAGAGAAAGAGGATGATGTAAAGAGAATCTAAGAGAGAGAATTTTAGAGAGGTAGAATATGTGAATTTGAGTTGAAAAGATAGTGTGAAACTGTTTTTCTTATATAATGGATGAAAAACAGGTCAAAATGGGTGACTCATATTCAACCTATTTAACCCTATATAAAAATGAGTTGAATATGGATTATTTATATTTGACCTATATTTTAAGATGATTCACCCATATCCATTTTAAAACATGCGAATATGAGTGGATTGGTGGGTCATGACCCATTTTGCCACACCTAACTTGTGTGTACCAATATATACACAAATTCAATATTTAAATACAAAGTTGATCACAATTATATCTATCTATCTATATATATATGTATATATATTTATGTCCCGAGTTTGAGTTGCTCAACTAAATTTTGGTTGAGATCTCTGGGTTCCAACGTAGAAATGATTATCCAAACTTGCGAAAAATGGATTAGGGCTCGGATTGGCTCACTCAAATTGCACCCCCACTTTTTCCATCCATCCGTTGCTGATATTTACTAGTTCAATTGATCAAGGAATGGACATGTCATAGGATTAAAGGTTGAGGGTTTTACTAGTTCAATTGCATCATCCAAAAACCAACCAAGAAAGTTCATACTTGATATAAGTTTCTTCATTGAATTGTAGGAGATCCCATCCAAGAATTTATACCAATCAATCCCCTTGTCCCTCAACTTTTATTTACCGAAAAAAAGAATTGACACCAATCAAATCGGGTGGAGATTGTAGACTGTTCAAAGAAAAGGAATAATTGTGGTCCGACTGGCTGATGGAGCCTTGAAGATATACATAGTGAAGGCTGAGAGATAAGGTGATGATGATAACCAACGACTTGTCTTCATTTTTTTTTTTTTTTTTTTTTTTTTTCATTTTCCCAAAATGATTTAAATTGGTTGCAAATTCTGAAAAGGTACTTTTGGACATGTTACATGACCGAAAGTGTGTGTCACTTTTATCTAAATGGGACCTTACAGGAGGGCCTAAAGATATTTTCTCCTTGTTTTGAAACTTTGCTTTTTTATTTTTTTGGGGTTAAAGGAGATGGGAGATGGTCCTAAGTGAAGCTTACCTGAATGTTTGACGTTGTGATGTTCATAATTCAGATATTAAAATTAATCATTGGGATATTAAGGACACAGACATATGATATGACATTATATATGGACTTTTCATAATATATACTTCCTCAATTCCATATTGTCAGTTATCTATTTTTTTAATTTTTTATGTCCCAATCAAAAGAAAAGAAAAGTTATTTTTTCATAATTACCATTTTAATTTTTTAAAAATCTCTCAAGTTAGTAACATACGTAGTGACAGACCACAAATTTTTTTTTGGAGTGTGTGGCTTGTTCAACAAGGGATGGGCTGTTGTTGACATCCTTTTTGGTAAATTTTGTATTAATGATATGGTAACCAATTTGGATATAAATTGACACGTAAAAATGGGTAAAGAAGCTACATTCAGAGGCAAAGGAAATTGAAGCATTTGAATTATTTAATGCATAGAGATTATAATTTTAGTATTTATATTTTAGTTGATGTAAGTTAAATATTTATGTTTATGTTTAGTATTAATTTATTTTAAACTTATACTTAGTTGGGTTATCTTTAGGATTACTTTATTCTAAACTTATAGTTAGTTGGGTTATCTATAGGATTAATTTATTTTGAATTTATAGTTAGTTGTGAAAGAGTTGTAATACAAGTAAAGTGCTTGTGGGTAGGAGTTTGTTAGGAGTCCAGCACCCTCAAAATCATTTTAATATTGTTATTGTTTTCTCAAGGGTTTCTCAGAATAGCATCCTTACTATTTTTTCTCTATCTCTCTTAATATCTCGTTCTATCTCTCTCTTTCTCAATCTTTCTCTATATTTCTTTTTATATCTATTTCTCTCCCCTTTCTATTCTCAAAACGTTACTATAAATTATTCATTATAAAAGTCCTTTTAATTAAGGCAATTCTTGAACTCAAAGAAGAGTTTTACTGTTTTCTTTATCCTGGCATTGTCTGAAAGTCAACCTTCCCAAAGAGACTACAGTTGACTATTTAACCTCGAACCATATAATTGGTTCGGGCACGCTCGTATCACATCAATTCCGAATCGGATCTAAGGACCCGATTTTAGCATCAACAACTGTATCCAAGATAATATGTCTAGGTGTGAGCTGAGATTCTTTAACATTTTAACCGTGTTCATGCTTCCTAAATTATCATTGATGTGGGATGGTAGAAAGTAAAGAAACAAGATAGCTGATTTACTATACTTTTTTTTTTTTTGATTATTAATATATAGGGTAATTTAAAAAATTGAGTAAGAACATGAGAGAGTGTGAGAGAATTTATTATCATCAATGTAAAGGAGAAATATGAGAGTGTGAGAGAGAATTGATTATCATGAATGCAAAGGTGGTACAAAATGAAAAAGAAAGATGATTATCTTTTGGATCTAAAAAAAATTAGTGGAGTATATTAAAAAATTGAGAGGGGGCATTTTTGAAATTTTTAAGTAAAACTATAGATAATAATGCAAATTAGAAAAAAAAAAATCAGTAGGGGCATCAGCCACCCTGAATTGGGTCCGTGTGTGAATATACTTATTTAAATTTAAATAAATTATTTCGTAATTTAGAAAATAAACATTGCACTAATTGTATATTTCTTAAAGGAAAAAGCTTGCTTTAGGCCAATCTCTCCTTTTGTGTTGATATGAACTAATAACAACATGACATGTGTGAAAAAAACAAAAACAAAAAAATTAAACCTCAATTATTCGGATCTTTTCACATGTCATCCAAAAAGGAAGAGGATTTTCTCTCACGCATGTGTGAGACTTGGTAACGGCTCTCCCCCTCTTTAACTCACTATTCCTTCTCTCTTCCCACCAAATCCCCATTGATACCCACCATATCCGTAATTCTGAAACCCTAATATTAATCCTCTCTTTCGCCAACCGACCTCCGCCACCTCCATTGCTTGCCACCTCTTCCATTCCCAAACCCTAATATTTTACATCCAATCTTTAGAGAACTCTTTAACTCACTATTCCTTTTCTCTTCCCACCAAATCCTCATTGATGCCCACCATATCCGTAATTCTGAAACCCTAATATTAATTCTCTCTCCCGCCAACCGACATCCGCCACCTCCATTGCTTGCCACCTCCTTTATTCCCAAACCATAATCTTTTACATTCAATCTTTAGAGAAATTCAAGCAGCCACATTTGTTGCCTGCCATCTCTGTTGCAACCCCATCTCCAGAATGACTCAAGTGGCCGACCAATTAATAAATAGGCATTCAAAATTTTGAGATTTATCACCACATGTTGCAATCTGAAGTCAAATTGATTTCCTTAAGGGTGTGTCTGAATAAATAGGGGAGAAAAGAAAATAAAAGATAGTATTAGTTAGGAGAGAAAAGAAAGGATAGTAATAATTTCTATTTGTGTTTGGATAGATAGAAGAGAAAAGAAAAGAAATTATAATTATTCTTGTTTGGATAAGATAGAGGAAAGAAAAGAAAAGAAAGGATAGTAACCAAATTACTATCTTACCCTTTGTAACCACATGACCCTAAGAAACTACCAAATGGTGCAATATTAACATTCTTTTTTCTAGCCAGACATCCTCATTAAGAATGCATAATATGCTTATACAAAAGGCAAATTTTTGCAATTCATTCGATAACAGTTTTTTTAGTTGTCACTTACCAGTGATGAAATTCTGTCATCCAGGAATCAGTTACCCATCAGGCCAATGCTGTTCTGCTAGTCAACCCTACCTTGAGAATTTCTGGGAGGTGTTTAGTGGTTAACTGAACCTAAAAAATGGCAAATGAACACTATATATATGAAGAATGGTATGAATATTAATATACGTTTTGCTGTTTATTTCACCTCTTCCAAATGTCCCATCCTATGTACAGCTAATGGAGTACAGTTTTGAGACAAAATTATGAATTCTAAAAACTACATAAACGGTGTTGAACAACATAGAATGATAGAAATGAGGATACAGTTAAGGGGACATAAATGGAATTACATTTCAGTAGGTTGAATTTTAAAGAGTATTTTTGGTATTAGTAATATACAACTTATTCCACTATCCTTTTATCTTCCTATCTTCTCAAATTGGGAGAGAAAGCCAACAAGTGATGGGGAATGATAGTTATCCCTCCATTTCTCTCCCTATCCCTCCCTATCTCTCCACTTCACTTACCCAAACACACCCTCATACTATCCTCTCATTTCTTTTCTCTCCCTATTCCTCCAAATCAACCCTACCAAACACACCCTAAACTCCATTGATAATTGGAGTCTTACAATTGTGGTTAATTTACCATGTTTGGACTAATTGTTTAGCTTCTTCTTCTATAACGGATTGTAATAGGAAGGGTAGGAAGGGTTTGTAATAGAAAATCTCAAAAGCATAAGGTAAAAAAAAAAAAAAAAATTCTTTTGGATGATCCTCAAAAAGATCCAAACAATTTTTATTAATTATTTTTAAAAGTTTTTCACACATGTCATGTTTTTATTGGTCCATGTCAGTATCAAAAGGGCATTAGTACATATAGGGCCTGAGGGAAGTATAGTTCTAAAAAATCACAATTCATTATGCATTTTGCTGCTTGTTTACGTGTGCTTGTGACAATGAGATGGAGCTTACAAGAAGAGAATTATTAATTAGCTATAGCCAATTCAATCACAGCCAAACATGCATACAATGTTGTATTGATGGAAATATCTATATATACGCCCATATCAAATCTAATGCAAATTTAGATTATACACAATTACTACCACACCACCTTGAAATCATATCCTAATTCTAATCCTAAAAATTTAACCTACCAACCTAACTAGAGAAAAATAGAATTTTACATTCTCATTTTGAAAGGTTTTCCTCTATAGCGGGAGGAACTTCCTCAATTTGGCGCGTAGATATTCATGAGTGTGGAAGTGGTGGTGGTGGTACATGGGTATGAGTGAAGGCCTTCAAATGTTTGGCATCGGCTTTCCATTGATGTTCAATGTCTTCTGCAATCCTGATTGCGTCCATGGACGTACCAAGTAGCCCACGCTTGGTGAACCCCACTGCGTATAAACCATACTCGCCTTTCCATCCATTTGGGAACGGTTTTTGGGGCAATCCATCTTTCTCCGAGAACAAATTGCTTTCCTGTTAGACCATCAAAAAAAAATTCAAGCTCTTCACCTTTCCAAGGAAAAACATATATATATATATATATGTATGTATGTATGTATATAGATAAAGGATATACCTTCAGCCAAGTTGGAACATTACTTTTGTAACCTGTCGCTAAGATAATGGCATCAAAGTTCTCTACTTTCCCATCTACAAACTCCACCGTGTGAGGTGTTAGCCTCTTTATTCCCTGACAAACCTACACAATTGGGATTAAACGTTTTTATTATTACAAATTAAAGTATTTCAACTGTGTCTATTGTTTTAAAGTTTATGCATATATATATATATATATATATACAAATTCATGCAAAAATATGGTCTCTCTTTTTAATGTCGATATATCAATGTGATACAGATATGGTTCTTAATCAATTTATAAAGACCGAGAAGACAAGGCAGAAAATGCATGGTTATGAATCATTAGTTAAACCAACCTTGATTTCCCCAGTTCTAATCTTGGCAAGCGTCCCAATATCCAATACCGGTGTCTTCCCGGACATTCTCTTGAGTTCTAGGGGTCCAAGCTTGGGTCTATGGAGTCCGAATTGAGCCGTGTCACCGAGCATGAGTCGTGACACTAGAAGTAAAAATTGATCCACCACCCAAATGGGAAACCACTTGAGCAACCACATGGAAAGCCCAAAAGTTGAGCTACCCAGCATCTCTTGAGGCAAGACATGCACCTGCAAAGTGAAAAAAACCAAACAAAAAAAAAGAAAAAAAAAAAGAAGGGTTCTTAGAAAAGCTTTAAAGTTGAGATATTAATGAGGCTTTTTCCTCATATATGGTAAGGTATGGCATCTTCTGTGTCACGACTTCCATTTTATTATACCATGCTTTAGAATCTTTATACTGTTATACGCTTCTTTGCACAGAAAATTTATAGAAAGAAAAGGACTCTTACAATCCAAGATTTTTTGTTGCAATCTTTACCAGTACCACGCATGCATACAAATTCCAAGAAAGTTAAAAAGATCATTCACAATATTTTATACTAAAAGTTCTTGTTATTTCTCCTATAGAATATAAATTATAACCCGCGTGGGTAGTCCTGGTATAAGCCCTAAATTTGGATGATTTTCACACTCGAACTTAAATGAAATGTGTAGTTTGCAGATATCAAGATTACAAACTATTCGTGGCTAGCAGAGGGATTGATTCTTCGTTACAAAAGAATAATTTTTCTTTTATATATATAAAAAAAAAGATATTTTAAAAGCATAATTTGTTTACTTTGAAGTAAACCCTACTATTATCAAGTCTTTTGTAGGACTAAATTTCGTGTAGTCAAATACCATGAATATTTGTACATGCAATCTGCTTGAAGTTTTTAGGATAATTAAAAATCTTTTACATGCTTGAACTTGACTGTGGAGAGAGAGAGAGAAAGAGAGAGATAAGATCGAGTTGAAGTATATATGCTTACTGAATCTCTAACCACAAGGGATGGTCGAGCATTATAGTTGCAGAGGTCCAAACAAACCTCCATGCCAGAGTTGCCACAACCAACCACCAAAACAGACTTCCCCCGAAATGATTCGCCACTCTTGTATGAGCTTGTATGAACAATAGGCCCATCAAACTCATTCCTGCCTTCAATTTCCGGCAAAAACTGCTCTGCATTCTCACCAGTCGCGACGATTAACCATTGACACACGTACTCCATTTCCTCCATTTTTGGTCCTATAGTCTTAACTACCCAAAATCCATATCTATAATCAAACTCTGCACTCACCACTGTCTTGTTAAAAACCGGGTTTAAATCGAACCGTTGCGCGTAGTCCTCCAAGTAGGCCACAAAGTGTTCTTTGGTTGGATAAGTTGGAAATTTTGAAGGGAAAGACATGAGAGGAAGCTCGCAGAATTGCTTAGGAAGATGAAGTCGAAGACGATCATAAGTCTTGCGTTGCCACAAAGAAGCTATGCAATCATCCCTTTCAAGAATCAAACTTGGGACACCTCTTTGTTTGAGACAGGCAGCTGTGGCCAGCCCCGAAGGTCCGGCACCGACTATGACCGGTCCGGGCACCCAAACCGAACTTTTAGTCATCTTGTCGATGAAAGGATCATGAATCATTTTGCTTTCAACTTCTTTCAAGTAGTCCATCAACAGCATTAGAATTAAAAAAAAAATTGGGTGGGGGCTAGGGTACTAAATGCTCTCACACGCGCTCAGAAATGTCTGAAACTTGAACCCCTCACCTTCTTTTGTTTGAGAGAGAAGAGATTATACCAGTTGAGCTAATGGCCCAGTTAGTAGGTATACTAGCTAGTTCATGGAAAAAAGAGCAAAATGAAAAACTAAGTGAAACGAACCCATGTATCTAAGTAAGTTTTTGACACAAAATATGAATCTTGATGTGCAGGTGATTGAGATTAGAGATTAGAGATTAGGCTAAGATTTGAGACATGTTTTTCAGCTTATCGAAAGGGAAGATTATGGAGATATTTTGGCAATGAACGAATCCTGGATTTAAGGAATGGATATTTGAGAGATAAGGGACTTATCCAAACAGGTTGAGGAAAGGAATTTGCTGATGGTTGTTTTATTCAGTATTGGAGGGAAAACGGAGAAAGCGAGAGCTCCGGAAGAGGTTTGAGGAAATTGAGATTGGAAACACGATGGAGTTGAGATTTGAACCAACTATGTAGTCTATATATATCACATATAAATATGTGTGTGTGTGGGGGGGGGGGGGTTCAGTACACAGTAGTAGACTCGTACCAGTATTTATATAGTGAACATTTATAAATTAGTAACAGTACTAACTACCATTAACCAATAAGATCGATCATAAGATTTCATTGACACAAGTATTGTTTAATTTTTAAATTACATAATAATTTGTGAATGACCAAGATCACATGATATCGAATTATTTAATAATTTTTGCCTTGAGAGAGATAAACAAGGACTGGTATCAATTTCATTGATGATGTGATAGATGATGGATGGTCAAGGTTTTCCAGGATATTTTGTAGTGGTAAGCCAAAGGCTGCCAAATTAACTACGCTAAAAATGTACTTTATATTTGTTTCTTTTATTCGTAATTCTTTTTCTTAGTGATAAGTAACATACACTAAAAATGTGCACTGTTAGGTACCTCGATGAAAGCCTTATCCTAACATTCTGTATGGGAGGAGAAAAACTACTGAAACTAAACACTCTTGTATTAAGACAAGTGCCTCTTAATTATAATAAATTTTCATATATATATATATATAAATAAAATTTTATTAAAGAGGAAAAAGGAACAACGGGACAAAACCCTCAAAACACTATGTTGTTAACGGCGGATTAAACAATTTCATTCATTAGTCTAGGAGTTTTTTTTTTTTAATTAATTTATTTATTTTTATTGTGCGCGCGCGCTAACAGGTGAGTTTATGATTTTTAGTGGATGATTTTGTTTGTTGTAATGAATTGTTGTTAGCGTCATTCCCAGTTTTCAAACTTGTCGGGGAGAATACTGAAAAAGGGACTTCTTCATATGACGTTTCAACAAACAATTAGTGACGACTTGATCACTGTGTCTAATTTTCTATCACCATTGGTCCATTAAAACAGCTAATGCCCAGTTCTTGACATTTGCTCTGGTGACTTTTCTTCCCCTAAATGTTCTGTTTCTTGTCGTGTTTGATTATGTCACAATAATATTATTGTTAGCATATATGATATTCACGACTTATAGAATGACTTACTCTATAGAATATGTCAGAAATTTGATTATACTATAGAATATGTTTTATAATATGTTGTGATTTGATTTAGATTTGATTTCTTGTAATATGAGTATGTGCTCTTTTTATAAATTTTATCTATAAATTTGTAAATGAGTGATTCATCTCATTCAAACTTTTACACAATTATCTTATTTTTCTTCTTTTTTATATTTCTACTATTATTAATTTCAGAAATATTGAAGTTCCATTATTTTTCTTTTTTTAGATAAAATATTTTTTTATATTTTTATATTTTTGGTGTTTGGTAAAAGTCTAAGTAGAGTCCATCAGGTGAGACGTGTAGAATAGCTTGCTGAAAATTGATGAATAAGTTATTTTATTTTTGTTAAGAAATGTTTTACAAAAATCAAACACCAGAAAACACAAAAAATCTAAAAATATTTTACTCTCAAACAAACGAGCCCAAATGAACCTAGCTATTACTCACAGTGTATGAAAAATCTGTAAAGTTTATGCTTGCATGCATAGTCAAACTATTGGTACATGCATTATATGTCCTTTCACATAATTAAAATTACTCTCTTTGGGTATACTGTCATAAAGATTGCATAATTTAGCCGATTTGAATTTTTGTTGCACTGATAAAACAAGGGAATCAAGATCCTACAAGCCCCAATAATCTTAATATTGAGAGGTTACCAAAATTGAAAATTGTATGGAATATTGGGGTGGTGGTAAATGAGAATCAAACAACACTCAACTCTTTTAAAGTACCCTCCAAAAAACCTTACAACTCAGGGAATCTCTTTTGCTATCTATTAATTGTTTGTTTTATGTTTTCAACTTAAAATCTATCAAAAACAACCAACAGTATCTTCCTTCTACTGAGATCCTTTCCTTCCAAACATGGACACTTATGATGTGTTCACAAAACAGAATTTACGGTTTGCCAAATTTCCTTCCAATTATGCATTGCCATACCAATCATACACTCATTTAGCTAGCTGTAGTGACAATGCAAGACTCAGAATCTATCCGTGGTTAGAATATAGAGTTCGAAAATTCAGAAAGTAGTTATACAAGTATTCATCGTGTTTTGATCGATGACCAAACAAGAGTGTATGAGGGAAAACTGCAATTAATGCATTTGAATCTACAATATATATATTTACTTTTCATCAATATCAAATTTATAGGCTTAGATGATTTTTGTGATTAATTCAAGAATATATATATATATATAACTGGAAATAATAGAATTTCAATACTTGAGGGAGAGACCACAAGGTAATGATAGGGATGGACCAGTACAGTACAGTGTTACACAACCAAAATAGCTTAGTAATGAATTAAAAGTGTTAGGTATATAAATTTAATTTGGTGACTTTTGAATGATGACTAAGTAGTGTCAGTAGCATCAAGTTAGGAATGCGTTGATTAAGAGTGGGCAATGATTAAGCAATTAATAAGTAGTCCCCAATTCTACTAGTAAGTGGTCCTTAAAGCTTCTCTTCTTAACTTGGATCCATCTATAACTCACTTAGCTTTAAGACACTCAAATGTAGTTCACCGACATTAATATCAATATCAATATCAATATCATCAATACGTACACACTATTATTATTATGATCCATTCTACAGCTTGCCAACCTATATATATTCATGTATACATATATATCATTCATGCTGTTCGATAATACTCAGCCAATGTATTTATAAATATGTAGTCGCACGCTTAGAACCTAGCTTATACCAAATTTGGTACCACCTATAATATTATACGAGGTACAAAATTAGTTGAAATTTTAATTAGAGCAACATTATTGAGGCTCTAAAATATTTTTTGCAATGATATATCGAAGCATTCATATTTGATTGAGACTTCACATTGTTTATCCTTGGAGACTTGGACCCATTTTTCCTTCATGAATGTACCTATTGAGGGTTCACAATTTTTTGTGATATATATATATATATATATATATATATTAGCAATCTATACATATCTATGTCTGACTAGAGGCTAGGGAATATTGTTACACAGTCAACTAAAGGGTGATAGGATTGCAATGTGTTGTCATATATAGGACGACTCCTGTAACATCTTACTAGTATGGAGAATTAATTTGGTCCATCGCTTGGTGACCACTATATATCATAATTGAGTTTGACAGATTGTTGAACACAACTAGTTTGAATATGTGTGTGTGCGCGCTTGTGTGTGTCAGCATGAGATTTTTTTATTTACTACTGATTTTAATTCAGATTTACTTTGGCATTCATTTGTTACACTCAGAACAATCATTAAAAAGTAGGTTCAGCTAGTGAAATTAATACAAAATTATATATATTCTTTAGATATATACATTATGTTGATATGCAGCTCTAACCTTTACATATTACTACTGATGTGCTTGCTAGGCTAGCTCGCTTTTCAAAAAAATTTATTAGGTGTAGTTAACTGTCAACACGCACACACAGAAACAATTATCATTGAATGGTTTTTTGTTTGGTCATTTAGGAATGTCAACAAATATGTCATGCATTAGTGTTTGGAAGGATCATATACCATTCTTTAGCGTTTAATTAATATTTTTGTATATAGTTCCAATTCCAATTAAGTGCTACTTAGAACTATAATATTAATAAAATTAAGCATCACAAACTAGTGGACATTATGAAACAAGAAAGTAAAGCATCCAAACCAAAGGCTTGGCACTGAAAATAAAACATCTCAAATAATAAATGTTCCACAAAATAGTTCCACAAAATAGTAATTTATTAATTAACTATAATATTTGGAAAAATAGGGTAATTAGTAGTATTGTGCAAGCTAGTTTTAAATCAAAGTGGGTGATTTGTATGTCATCATAGGATCTGTTCAATTTTGATCTATATACATTTTGTATTCTATATACATTTTGTATTCATGCCTCTGGACCAAACACTAATATAAAATAAAACAAAGAAATAAAAAAGATTACGGATTTGTTGTCCAATCATACAGTATAAGAATTGGGGATAATGGGGACATACTCATACCGATTTCTTCATTCTTGAAGATCAGTTTTGGATTATGATCAATGTTTTGTTTTCCAATATCTTGAAATGCAGGTGTTTTAACAAACATGAGGGACACAAGACTAACAACTTTATTTATATATATTTATGAAAAAGGAAATTCAAGAGAATATTTTAATTAAGCTTAAGTTTGTAATTGGTTTGTTAAATTTATAATAATGTAATTATGCGCATTTGCTGCAGTGTCACTGTATTGAGCCCTGAATGTGGGATGAGAATGTTTAAACACTATCAGCCTATCACATATGGTCATATTCACTTTTCTCCCGACAAATACTTTGTACAAGCTAAAATTAAATAATTGTTTATTTACTAATCATCTTTTCTTTATATTCCTTCCTTCTTTCCTTCATAGCAAACAATTAATTGGGCATTAAAAATAAAAAATTAAACATTTGACTTAGGAGCATCAACATATATAATTAGATGATTATTCTCTACTTTTTGGTAAGCAATTATTATTCTCTACTATGGATCCTAAATGGAGAGAAAGTGCTTAAAATTCTTCCCAGAAAAAAAGAAAAAAAGCAAAGAAGTAAAGTTAATAATGACAACATTTAATCAACTTTTATTTATGCTATAATTTCATTCTTGACGCATATATATATATAAATGTATATATACTTGATACATGCTTAAGTAATCCTTTGCCAAACTTGTACTTTCGTATGCAAAAAATAGTAAGGAATGTTTCTTATTCTTGTAAGCTAGCTAGGAGAACTTAGTCAAGTATTAACTACAGTTGTTGACTTAATCAGTGACAATTAATGCAATAATTAGCGTATTAAATCTTTATTTGAATTTTCTTATTCGATTTTTTCATTTAAATTTAGAAGATATA